CCTACGGCAACTCCCTCATGACTGTGTACCACTATGGCAACCACTGCTAACTATCATGTTGCAGCAGGTCTCTTACCAGGTCTGAAATGTTTTAGCATTCACTGGCAAATTATTCCCAATTGAGGATTGTTTGAGAATTTCTTCTGCTGTGTTTGTAAATTTTCAGCTCTCCCTTGCTGCTGACTTGAGTTGCATGAGCAAGTGGCTTATAGCTGAGTCTGAAAATCTCACACCGCTGCTTACCATGTTGTGTGGACAGCCATATCAAATCCTTATCACTGCTCAAAATGTTGTGTGGATAGATATATCAAATCTTCATCACTGTTCACTTTGTTATATGAATAGTTATATGAATATAGCTCATCTAACAGCCCATACAACATGGTGAGCAGCGGTGTGAGGATTTGATGTAACTGTCCATACTTTACGGTAAGCAGCAGTGAGGATTTGCTACCACCATCCTCTTTAAGTGCAGGAAACTGCAGGACTTGCTTGGTCTATTGTGGGAGAGGAAAGCACACCCCATCTTCCTGTACTTCTTTATTAAGGAGCAGGGATGTCTTGCTGCAATTGTACAAGGCCTTGTTGAGACTACACGTGGAAAATTGTACGCAGTTTTGGTCTACTTATCTGAGACAAGTTGTTCTGGCTATGGAGGGAGTGCAGTGAAGGTTTGCCAGGCTGATTCCTAGAATGGCAATACTGAAGTACGAAAATAGACTGGATCAGATATGACTATACTCATTGGACTTTAGAAGAATGGGTGGGGGAGGGGGTACATCTCATAAAAACCTATAAAATTCTAAAATTCCAAAACCTAAAATCTGACTGGACAGGGTAAACACAGGAAGGATGTTCCTGAGGACTAGGGATCCCAGGGATCAAAGCCTAAGGATACAGGTCGGCCATTTAGGACTGAGAAGTATCTTCACCCAGAGAGTCGTGAGCCTGTGGAGTTCTCTTCATGGAGAGCAATTGAGGCCAAAACATTGAATATTTTCAAGAAGGGATTGGGTGTAGTTCTTAAGGCTAAAGGGATCTAAGGCTATGAGGAAAAAGACGGAACAGGATACTGAGTTGGATGATCAGTCTTGATCACGTTGAATGGCGGAGCAGACTCGAAGGGCCTAGTGACTTACTCCTCTTATTTTTGATGCTTCTATGGTCCATTTAGAAGAATCTTTTGTGGTTAGGAGCACTAGTTTATTACATGTCAGCAACCAGTGACAGATCACAATGAGATGATAGACACTGTTCCAGGGACTTTGACAAGGACCAAATAATGAGTCTCAATCCTTCGAGATCCTACACTGTACTGCTCACAGGTCCATTCGGGATCCTTACAGTGAGTGAGGCTAATGGCTTTCCTCAGCAATAATCCTTTCAGAACTGCATATAGCACCTTCCTTCCCTAAAGGAACTTAGGGAACCAAATGGGTTTTTAACACAAACTAATGATAGTTTTCCTGGTCACCATCACTGAGATTAGTTTTCACTTCCAGATCTATAACTTAAAATTAAATTCCACCAGCTGCTGTTGTGGGATTTGAACCCGTTTTTAGCAACATCGACACTACACCATCAGCTCTCTAAAGCCTAGCTCCACCCCCATTCCCAGCCTCACAGTGAGGAGAGTTTCCTACAGTCCAAAAGGTGAAGAAATAACTTTGACTTATTGTATGCCTTTTACAACAACAGAAAGATCCCACAGACAGCAATGTGATCATGAGTGGACGATCCATTTTTTTAAAAGTGTGGTTGGTTGAGGAACAAATATTGGTTCAGAAAGAGGAACGTTCTTCCACCCTGAGTCTGTATGATCTTCATTTGAGATGGGAGCTGGTCACCTCTGATTAAAATCTCATTTGTGAGACAACACTTAGAGTCATAGAGGTCTACAGCACAGAGAAAAGTGCTTTTGGCCCATCAAGTTTGTGCCAGTCAAAAATAACCATCTAAGTATTCTAATCACATTTTCTAGCATTTGGCCCATAGCCTTGTATGATTTGACATTGAAACTGCACATCTAATTACTACCTAAATGTTATGAGGGTTTCTGCCTCTAACACCCTTACAGGCAGTGAATTCCAGATTCCCATCATCTTCTCAGTTAAAAAAAAATTCTCTCACATCTACTCTAAACCTTCTGTCCTGTACCTTACATCTATGCCCTGGGTCATTAATCCCTCCAGCCAGGGGAGAAGTTTCTTCCTGTGTATCCTGTTTATGCCTCTTATCATTTTATACATCTCAATCATGTGCCACTTCAGTCACCTCTGTTCCAAGGAAAACAACCTCAGTCTGTCCAATTTCTCATTATAACTGAAACGTTCTAATCCAGGCAATGTTCTGGTAAATCTCCCCTGTCCCCTCTCCTGTGAAATCAGTGGCCTGGGATGGGCATTGAAGATGTCAGTGTAATTGGTCCAAGAAACATTGACATATTCCAAGACTTGACAGGCTTGAGGGACCAGGGGAAGAAGGTGCGCCATGGGGTTGTTTGGGGTTGAGTGGCCTGAACCAGTTTGAAAAATACTTTCGGGGGAGAAACATTTAAAAAGGGCATGAGGGGCAACCTTTTTACACAAAGAGTGGTGTGTGGAATGAACTGCCAAAGGAAGTGGTGGATGCAGGTACAGTTAAAACTTGTAAAAGACATTTGGATAAGTACATGAATAGGAAAGGTTTGGAGGGATATGGGCCAAACGCAGGCTAGTGGGACTAGTTTAGTTTAGGCAGATGGCCAGCATGGACTGGTTGGACTGAAGGGTCTGTTTCTATGCTGTATGACTCTATGACTCTATAATCTGATATTCAGTGTAGTAATGGCCCCTGAATAGCAACTAACCCAGGGTCTGGCTTTGCACTGTAGCTATCTCTGCTGGCAGCTGTTTGACGCACTTGTAATGTCATTTATAACACTTCATACAAGAATTTATGGTTTCTCTAAGTCACTTGTCCTTTCCTGTTGAAGTAGTAACCTCTGGCAATTCCTAACATACCAGCTATCTATGAATCCTTCTGAATGGATTACAAGCATTGATGAATTTAGCTCTGACCACACTCTATGTAGCGGGGACAGGGCAGTAGAGATGGTGCTGAGGAGATTTACTAGGACAGTACCAGGATTAAGTAACTTCAGTAATGTGGAGGGGTTGATGAGTCTGGAATAGTTCTCCTTAGAGCAACATGAAACCTTAATGGAGGTGTTCAAAATGCTGAACGGCTTTGATAGAGTAAATGTCACGAGGGTTGGTATCCAGAGGTTTAAGATAAATTTAGAGAAGGAAACAGCAGAGATAACAATTTACATTTCTTTAGCAAGCTGTTGTGATCTGGAATATGCTGCCTGCTAGGGCAGTGGAAGCACATTTAGTGGAAACTCTGTAAGGGGGTGAATTGAAGAAATAATTTAAAGGAAAACAAGTTGTGGTAAAGAGCATGGACTAACTGGAGAAAGTAGGAACTGCCGATGCTGGAGAATCTGAGACAACAAGGTGTGGAGCTGGATGAACACAGCAGGCCAAGCAACATCAGAGGAGCAGGAAAGCTGACGTTTAGGTTCTAGATCCTTCTTCAGAAAATGGGATGATTAGCCTTCTTCTGTGCTGTAAGCTACATGATTCTAAGGGTGAAGACAGTGTCATTGTTGTCACATGTTACTGCCACATAGCCCCAATCCCCAGTGCCCCTCAGTAGCTCACTCAAGTTGCCAGACTTCACGTGAGAATTTAGGCAGTCCCGCCCCCTGTTTGACCTCATGTTAAGTCCCATTTACTCACTTCGTTCACTAACCTGCACTTTGGGTCTAACATAATTTCTGATTCTCATCCTTAATTTGAAATCACATCCATGGCTTTTCCTCTCTGTATTGTGATGTTTGATATGCCTCAGTGTTATACCTGCATGACACACCAGATTATATGGTGTGTAACTGGAATTTATCCACCGTGCTTTAAAATATATATCCATGCGTACAGCTTTTATTTGCTTCCAATAACTGCAACAATTTGATTACTTTCCTCTGATTGTACACACGAGCGTAACTAGTCAAGTACATTGAGCGTCGATAGTAAACAAACTCACATAATCCAATGCAGAACATTTGAATGCAATACTTATCGCTGTAATGCCCTCCAGTGAGATGGGAGGGAGGGTGTTATTTGTGGGAGTAAGAGCATTCATTGAAGTGAATGCCCCCGGCTCAAGATTTCCCCCAATAGTGGAAACATTTTCTCAACATCTACCCTGTCAAATCCCCTCAGAATCCTATATGTTTCAATAAGATCACCCCTCATTCTTCCAAACACGAATGAATAAAGGCCTAACTATTGAGATATTCTTGATAAATCAACCCCCTTAACCCAGGAATCAGCCTAATGAATCTATTTAAACTGCCTCCAAAGCCAACATATCCTTTCCTAAATACGGGAACCAAAATTGCACAGTATTCTAGATGCAGCCTTACTAATACCCTGTACAGTTGTAACAAAACCTGCGTGTAACCCCCGAATCACCACCCCATGCACACACAAAACTCCCTTCCCCACCTACCCAAAGCAATGAAGATCAAAATTCCCTATGCCATTTTATATACATGCTGCACCGAGATGTAACTTTTTATGTTTCACATACTCAAACACCCAAATTCCTCTGCGCTGTGCCTTTTTGGAGTCCATTTAAATAATAGTCTGAACCTTGTGGCACTCCAGTAGTGACATCTTTCTCATGTGAAGAAGACCCAATAATCCTGACTTTCTGTCTTCTGTAGGACAGAGGGAGTTAGACCAGAGTGACAATATTAAATGAGGGCCTGAGAGGGGAGTGACAGCATTAACTGAGGATATAATGGGGGAATGAGAACATTAACTTAGTAAGTGAGGGGGGAATGAAAGTGTTAATTGGGAGAGTGAGGGGTGAGTGACAACGTGAATTGCACGTTGTGTTATGCTTCTATGTGAATTCACCGCAGTGTTCCTCTCGTGATCCTGTCCTTTCAGAATCTCCAGTGAGGATAGTGAATACGACCGATGATACAAAGATGGAGTATCTCACTTCAGAATGCATTGTGTTGACCTGTGAGCTCTCCCGCCCCAACGCTGAAGTGAAATGGTACAAAAATGGACTGGAAGTCGAGGGAAGTGGAAAGGTCAAGATGGAGTCACATGGAGTCCACAGGAGTCTAATTATTGAGAAGGCTGGAACGGAAGATTCTGGAGAATACGTCTGTGATGCTGGGGATGATTCCATCTTTTATGACATCACCGTGAGAGGTTAGGTATCACACTGATATCCAGAACAATTGGTGGTGGATGTGAAGTGTTTTGGGTACCTAGAGGCTGGTATGCTGCGTGTAGTATAGTTGATGGAAGGCTCGCCTCTGACAACCAAGGTTGTGGGTTCAGATCCTGCTCCAGGCTCAAGCACAGAAATGAAGGCTGCTACTCTGGTCCAGTGTTGAGGAAGTGCTATGTTGCAGGATGTGTTGTGTCTCTGATAAGAAATTAAACCTGAGGTGCCATCAGCCTTTGTAGGTGGATGAGAAAGATGAGCAGGGGAGTTTGTTCTGACTGTTTATTCCTGGACAGGCATTGCTTTTTTAAAAATAAATCCTCGGGTAATTACCAGATTGCTCTTTGTGGGAGCTTGCCGTGTGCACATTACCCACGTTACAGCTGCTAACAAAGTACTTCATTGCCTGTAAAGCATGTTGAGGGCATAAGAAATAGGAACAGGAGTAGTCAGTTCAGCCCCTTGAGCCTGCTCTTCCATTCAGTAGGATCATGGCTGTTCTAACACTCCATATGTTCACTTTTGTGCCCTTTCTTTGTAACCCTTGCTTTACGTACTAATCAAAAATCTATCTATCTCAGCCTTGAGGATACATATGGACCTAGCCCTCCATGGTCCTCTGTGGCAAGGAATTCCAAAGACACTCAACCCTCTGAGAGAAGAAATTTCTCCTTATTTCAGTCTTAAATTGGTGCCCCTTTAATCTGAGACTATGCCCTCTAGTCTTAGACTCTCCCATGAGGGGAAACGTCCTCTCAACATTTACCCTGTTAAGCCCCTTAAGAATCCTGTATGTTTCAAAGAGATCACCTGTCATTCTTCTAAACTTCAATGAAGAGAGTCTGGCATACAGCAGAAAGAACATAGCTAAGCTATTTAAGTCTCGTTTCAGAGAGAATGCTGTTGTCTTGGGTTCAGTCTCCATTCCAGAGACAATATCTTGGGTGACGCTCCCAGTGTAGATTCTGGAATGATTCCTGCAATTTGGAAGGTAGCCAGTATTGCCCCACTATTTAAGAAGGGAGCAAGAGAGAAAATAGAGAGCTATATGCCTGTCAGTATTCTACCAGTAGTGGGGAAAATGCTGGAATCTATTATAAAGGATAGGATAAATAGACACCTGGTTGATAGTGATCTGATTGGTCATCATCAGCATGGATTTGTGAATGGGAAATTATGTTTGATTAACTTTTGGAGTCTTTCAAAGATGTAATTAACAAAATTGATAAAGGAGAGCTGACGGATGTAGAAGACAGTAAGGTGTAGGAACAGAAGTAGGCCATTCAACCCATCGAGTCTACACCACCATGGTTCCATTTCCTGCCAGTACACTTTGATTCTCAGGAGGATTTTGGTAAAATCCCCCACAAGAGTCTGCTTAGAAATGTTAAAGCACGTGGGATAGAAAGTAATGTATTGACATGGATTAACGATTGGTTAACAGACGGAAAACGGAGTGTAGGAATAAATAGATTATTCTCACAATATCAGACTGTGATGCGTGGGGTACTGAAATGATCTGTACTCATCCCCAGCTGTTCATAATATATATCAATGATTTGGAAATAGGCACTAAATGGATTATTTCCAATTTTGTGGATGGTATATATCTAAATGGGAATGAGTATAGTGAGGAGAATGTACTGTGGCTTTTGGAGGATTTGGACAGGTTTAATGAATGAGCGAGAACATGGTAGATGGAATATATTATGGAAAATGTGAGGTTATGCACTTTAGTAGGAGAAATGGATGTGCAGAGTATTTCTTAAATATTAAGCAGGTTGAACATGTTGATGTACAAAATAACCCAGGAGTTTTTGTCACTAAGTTACTGAAGACTAACAAGCAGGTACAGCAGTTATAAGGAAGGCTAATGGAATGTCAGACTTTATTACACAGACTTTCAAGTACAGGAGCAGTGAGACCTTGCCTCAAATGAACAGGAACTTGGTTAGAGCACACCTGGAGCACTGTGTGTAGTTTTAGATTTCTTATCTCGGAAAAGATATTACTTCCATAGAAGGAATGTTCACTAGACTTGATCCCAGGATGACAAGCTGTCCTACGAGGAGAGGTTGGACAAACTGGGCCTGTACTGGCCTTGTTGCCACATAACCTGTCATTACACGCTACCTGTTCTTCGTCACTAATAGTTCCCATTAACAACTATTTACCCTCCCTGATCGTTATCAACTCTTTGTCTGTCCAACTGCTCTTCTCTCTCGTTAGGCCCTATCCTATTATTTACTCCCTACCCCACCCCCTCCCCTTTTTTCTGCATATAAACTGACGTTTTCCCAGCCACCATCCGTTCTGAGGAAGGGTCACTGGACCCGAAACGTTAACTTTGTTTTTTCCTTCACAGATGCTGCTAGACCTGCTGAGCTTTTCCAGCAACTTTGTTTTTGTTCCTGATTTATAGCATCCATAGTTCTTTTGGTTTTTGTAACACAGTGTGGAGCTGGAGGAACACAATGGGCCAGGCAGCATCAGAGGAGCAGGAAAGTTGTTGTTTCGAAGGGTCCCTTCTGATGCTGCCTGGCCTGTTGTGTTCCTCCAGCTCCACACTGGGCCTGTATTCTTTCGAGTTTCGAAGAATGAGAGGTGATTGCATTGAGCCTGCAAAATACTTAAAGGGACAGACAGGGTAGATGCATATAAAACGATTCCCCTGTTTGGGGAATCTAGATCTTGGCCACAGTTTAAAAGTAAGGGGGATCTCACTTAGGCCTAAGATGAGGAGAATTTTTTTTACTCACATGGTTGTGAATCTTCAGAATTCTTTGTCACACAGGGCTGTGAAACTCAGTCTTTGAGTGTTTTTAAGGTAGAGATTGATAGATTTCTGATTACTGGGCTGTGAGGATAGGGTGAATAAAAGACATTGATGTTTTTGACCCTGTATTGATCATATTGAATGATGTGGCAGGTTTGACTAAGTAGGCTGAATGGTCTACTCCTGTTCTGATGTGCCTCGTAGCAATGGTGAAATGGTATAATGATGGCCAGACACTGGTGGAGAGTCAGGCCATTAAAATGGAGTCTGAAGGAGTTCTTTGGCTGCTGTGATTTCCGAGGGTAACAAATAGGTATGCCTCTCCACATTGGAGGGGCCCAGGTCAAGTGACAGCACAGGAGTCAATGCAAGACTCCTGACTAGAAATACAGCCTTGCTTCCTTTAGAAAGGTATGTAGTGGAGGGGAGTGAGCTGAAAAGAGGAAGGAAAAAAAGGGAGAAAACACTTTCCCCTCCCATTGATCAATGCAGCAGTTAAAAAGATGGCCAACAGCAGTGGAAACTTTAAGTAGCATTATTTCTTCTTCTTAAAACTCCCAGTTATTTTATATAACTAACTTTATTTTCTGTTATTTTCTGTTTCACTCTGTCACTTTTCTATTTCTTTCCATTCTTGATGGGCTGAATAGCCTCTTTCTGTGCCATAATTATTCCATCACACTCTCTCTCACTCTGCCCTGTCTCTTTATATTCTCGCTTTTATCCGTCTCTTCTTCTGTTTCTCTCATGCTTTTCTATTCTCTCTTCCTCTTTCTATCCTCTCTCCTTTATTCTTTTTATCAGCCTCTTTCCATCAGCCTCACAATTTCTCTCTCTCTCTCTCTCTCTCTCTCTCTCTCTCTCTATGTGTTGGATCTAGAGCCTCCAGTGAAAATCGTCAACAGTTCTTCACCGGTATTGAGCGTACTGACTGGGGATGAAGTTGTCCTTTCATGTGAGCTCTCACGGCCCGAGGCAGAGGTAAGGTGGTATAAGGATGGGGTGGAGGTGGATTGGAGCAAGAGATCCATGTTTGAGGTGGACGGAGGACATAGGAGGCTGACTATCCGCCAGGCTGTGATGGGGGACCAAGGGACGTATGTGTGCGATGCAGTCGACAACTCGGCCAAGTTTGAAGTGGCCGTTTCTGGTGAGTTGTCAGAAAGGAATGTATCATTGATAAGATACATTTTCTCCTCCTCCCTCGGTAATTGTAGGGACATCCCATTGACAGCCTGAATGAGGTGTGTTGACTGCACTGATGGAACCTGGTGCCCTTCAGACTCTGTGTCTCAGTACCACCTTGCATAGTTCCTTTATAAGCGCAGGAACAGGCCATCAACTCCCCGATCTCTCCCACCTCAATCAGATCCTAGCTGATCTGTATCTCAGCTTCCTTTACTCACTTCACCCAATATTCCCCTAAATCCTCAAGTACCAGAACTCTACTCAGCTCACACAACAATGCATGTTGTTTTCCAGGCCAATGTTTCTGTCTCAGGCCCATTGTAGTGCTCCAGCAAAACTCAGTGCAAGCTGAAAGAACAGCATCACATTTTCTGCATGGGGACCTTGCAGCTTTCAAGTCTCAAAGAACATAGAACATTACAGCGCAGTACAGGCCCTTCGGTGTTGCGCCGACCTGTGAAATCAATCTGAAGCCCATCTAACCTACACTATTCTATTATCATCCATATATTTATCCAATGACCATTTAAATGCCCTTAAAGTTGGCGAGTCTACTACTACTGCAGGCAGGGCATTCCACGCCCTTACTACTCTCTGAGTAAAGAACCTACCTCTGACATCTGTCCTATATCTATTACCCCTCAATTTAAAGCTATGTCCCCTCGTGCTAGCCATCACCATCCGAGGAAAAAGGCTCTCATTGTCCACCCTATCTAATGCTCTGATCATCTTGTATGTCTCTATTAAGTCACCTCTTAACCTTCTTCTCTCTAACGAAAACAGCCTCAAGTCCCTCAGCCTTTCCTCATAAGACCTTCCCTCCATACCAGGCAACATCCTGGTAAATCTCCTCTGCACCCTTTCCAATGCTTCCACATCCTTCCCGTAATGAGGCGACCAGAACTGTACGCAATACTCCAAGTGTGGCTGCACCAGAGTTTTGTACAGCTGCAACATGACCTCATGGCTCCGAAACTCAATCCCTCTACCAATAAAACCTAACACACTGTATGCCTT